TCCCAGCATGGTATCCGGCAGTAGCAGCTTAAGAGAGCAGGTTGAACAACAACAACCTCTAAGTGCGAAGTCCCAGGAAGAAACAGGTTCTGTATTGGCAGACTCTGCGTTGATACAAAGGAAACTTCAGAGGAACAAACAGGTTGTGAGGGATAGTTTTGAGGAGTGGGAGGAAGCATACAGAGTAGAAGCTGAAAGGCGAACAGTTGATGAAATATTCATGAGAGAAGCCTTAGTAGAAGCTAAGAAGGCTGCTGATACATGGGAGGTACCTGTCGGTGCTGTGCTTGTTCATGATGGGAAGATTATTGCCCGGGGTTATAACCTGTAAGTTTTATTTTCTTTGACCCCTTCTCCCTCTGGATTCATCTAACCATAGTTTTGACTTTTGTGTTTCAGAGTAGAGGAGCTTCGGGATTCAACTGCTCATGCAGAAATGATTTGCATTCGAGAGGGTTCTAAAGCACTTCGTTCATGGAGGCTCGCGGTAATCTTCTCTCTTTCTCTCTCTAAAACACCTCCGCCATGGTCGAATATACATTTTTGTTAGCTGGAACAGTAAATGAGCATAACAAAAGATTTAAGTTTTGGTGTGCTGATGATTAATTTTTTGGGGAAGTTAAATAAAATGATCAATAGTCAGGATTTGGTGATGTGGATATATATATGTGACCGTGAAACTATTTTCAATAACTTTCTTATTCTTCCAACAGGATACAACGCTCTATGTAACACTAGAACCGTGTCCAATGTGTGCGGGAGCAATACTTCAAGCAAGGGTCAACACTCTTGTGTGGGGTGCCCCGAATAAGCTTCTCGGAGCAGATGGCAGCTGGATCAGGTACCAATAACTTCTGAAACTGAAAAATATTCTGGAACATTGTAGAGTAAAAAAATTCATGGAACAAATGATGTTTTCAGGCTGTTCCCTGGAGGCGAAGGAAATGGATCAGAGGTTTCAGAAAAGCCACCGCCTCCAGTCCATCCTTTCCATCCTAAGATGACAATCCGGCGCGGAGTTCTCGAATCAGAATGTGCTCAGACAATGCAGCAGTTTTTCCAACTTAGGAGAAAAAAGAAAGACAAGAACTCAGATCCACCTACTCCTACCGATCATCATCACCATCTTCCCAAACTCCTCAACAAAATGCATCAAGTCTTACCCTTTTTCTGTCTGTAGAACAAGTTTTGCATCTGATCTGTTCAAAATTGTATATTTTTCTGTCCACTGTCATTTGTTAAAATCTGAAGACAAGGTTGGTTCCTTGTAATGCCATTGATTGTAACGTTATGCACAATTTCTATATGAACACATGTTTTGCTTTAAAAAATTTTAATAACCAACCTCTCTCGATAGTGATCTAGACTCTTTACCAGTTTTAGGTCCGAAGGAAGCATTGGTCCCATTTAGTTGATGATTAACACGTTTTATTAAAAGTGCTGATTATTATTTGGGACAGTTATTTGATAAGTGCGTATTAATGGCCTTCAATTAGAAGCAACGTAGCATTCTGATGAAGACTGGATCTCTAACTCATAGTTGCACCAAACTTTTTCATTCATTCTTGAAGAAATCTCAATATCTTTAAGCTTTTTATATGCACAATACTTCACCAATTGTTTCTTGTAGCTTCCATCATAACACAAATGGATTCAAATTCAATCATTTGGTCTCTTCTTTTAGCTTCTGCTCTCATCTCGTCCTTTAGTGTAAATGCACAAGGACCTGCTGCTTCACCGGCAACCTCCACAACCACTGCTCCTCCTCCAACCACTGCTGCTCCTCCAACCACCACTGCTCCTCCTCCAACCACAGCTGCTCCTCCAACCACAGCTGCTCCTCCTCCAACCACAGCTGCTCCGCCTCCAACCACCACTACTCCACCAGTTTCAGCTACTCAGCCACCAGCAGTTACTCCAACTTCATCACCGGCTCCAAAAGTTGCACCAGTAAGCAGCCCCGCTACTCCACCTCCGCAACCACCACAAAGCCCGCCTGTTTCAGCTCCATCCGTCTCACCACCACCAGCACCGACTTCTCCCCCACCCGCACCAGCTTCACCACCACCTGCACCAGTATCTCCACCACCCGCACCAGCTTCTCCACCAGCTTCACCGCCACCAGCACAAGCGCCTACACCTATAAGTCTACCACCAGCCCCAGCACCGGCTCCTGCCAAGCACAAGAGAAAACACAAACACAAAAGGCATCACCATGCCCCAGCTCCAGCACCAATTCCCCCAAGCCCTCCATCTCCTCCAGTTATAACAGATTCACAGGACGCAGCTCCAGCACCATCACCAAACACGGTAACAATTCAATACTAAACAACAATCTCGCCTATCACTGCTATCCTTATGTGATTCTAACCTTCTTTAATTTTCTGGTTTATAGAATGGAGGAAATGCCTTAAATCAGCTGAAAGGAATATCAGTAATGTGGCTCAATACTGGACTAGGAATCCTCTTTCTGCTGGCTATGACAGCCTAAAATTTCTCTTCTCTCATAATATCACATATGTATCGACTCGAACAGCTACATTTTTCCCCATGTATACCAACACATTGATTCAAAAATAATACATTCTTTTGTATTCTTTGCGGAAAATAGCTTACTTCTTAGTTCTTACCATACATAAAAGAACACATCTGAGAAAAAAAGAACAAAACATGATTCAAAATTCAACGTAGCTAATCAAACTTGATCGGTACCCGAATCCTTGGGGGTTTCCCGAAAATCATACTCAACAATGAGACCAAGATTATCAACAAGTTTATGATGCTGAAGACACCCTGCACACTGCCAAAGGAATAAGAAAAAAAAAAGCAATCAACCAACCAAAGCATCTCTCTTGGACAATCAAGCAAACATGTGGTGTGCAAAAATTGATCAGATCAAAGGAAACAGAATCAAAGACTTACCTGAACAAAGACAAGGCCATTTTCATAAGCATGCCGATTGATAAGCCGCTTAGTTCTTTCTCCACATGAATCACAACTAAATTCCACAAGCAAACTTCTTCTCGGTAGCTTAATATCTATAGAAGCTAATTGTGAGTCCTTTGATTCTTCATCTGGGTTTAACTTAGAATCATCACTGAGTGATCCAAAAACAGAAACAGAACGATTCCTTTGCTTGGGTGTTACTACCTCTATCACACGAGTAGTTTTCGACCTAGAGAAACACCAAAAGGAAGCGTCTTTCGGAGATTTTAGAGTGAGGAAGAAGAAATGAGAAGAAACCCATGAAAGAAAACATGATGGAGAAGAGATTTAAGCTTAGGACCTGTGTAGAGCTGATATAGGGTTTTGATGCTGGTACGACGGACGAGGAGGTTTGCAGAAAGAAGCTGAGATGTGAAAATTGATTGGCTTTGGGTTAGCACTTATCGGAGAATATATTGGAGGCAAAACCGGAGACCAACCGGCGGCAGTATTCGCCATGTTTCTCTGTGTATTGACCGGAGTGGTTGGAACCAAACTAATCAAACTTGTAATGTAAAGAATACTGAATACAAATGTAAGAAAGGACTTCACAAATTTAAGCATTAAGTAAAATGGAAAATGGTAGCCTACAATGGAGTAATATCTATCGTTGATTTTCAAGGTTTCAACGTCTCAGATCCGGACACGTGTGTAAACAGAAACAATTCTAACTCCAGATTTCTTTCGAATACAAAGCTCAAAGACCTTTTGTAGATGTAGTTCCAAATGATTTTTTTAAAATATGAGATAATTTGGAGCAAGATGTGTATCTTGCGGATGACGTACGTAATATAAACCGTTAAAACTTGTTGATTAAGTGAAGTCAGTGAAGTCCAAACCGAAAAATATTCTAAATTTCTATATTATTTTCTTATACAAACTATTTTTTATGTGTTTAGGAAAGTTTACATTATTTTTGTGATATATATATTATTTTGTTTCAATAAACTATTCTATTCTATATTATTTAATATATAATAAAATCTCATTTGTTTTTATTTAGACGTGTAACTGGATAAGAAAAAAATACAGTTTTGTCACATGTCAATCTCTATTGAGAATGTTAACACATTTTTCAATAGAAGTAGTTTAATAGTTAAATATATTAACACATTTTTTTGATAGAATAAAGATCTTTTATTTCTTTTGAATATATAAACGAAAACAATTTCAATATAATTAGGTTAATAGTTTAGTATATTATTAAAAATTATATAAACGAATATTCCATTTTATTTATCCGATAGGGTTAAGAACTTTTTATTTTTGTTTTTAAATAAATTAACTAATTTAAATTTGATATTTGACCACATGTGATATTTTAATTAACACGTCTCGAGATCATATGAATTAACAACTTTAAAAAACTAAACTTTATATAATAAGATATTAATACTGTAAATTGTAGTTGATGAAAAAGACAATAATCAGAAAAATGACAACATAAAAAGTTGGTTTTTTAAAGAAAAAGATATGAAATCTATCGTTACTTGGACCATTTAATTTGTTTGTTATAATCTTAGGTTAAAATTTTTGTTTTAGTTTGACTCATAGATTTATCTGGCTACATTTTCTAAAATGATTTTTTTCCATTTTACATCATGTATTTTATTATTTGTTGAATTTTTTTATGACCTTCTTGTATGTTTTGACCACTTGTAATCAACTTTCACTTTTAATCAATTTTGAGAGATCTTTCCTATATGTGTCATTCTAATCTTTAGCCGTTTTCAGAATCTAATTTTATTTTCTACTTTTTATAGGTAGTGCATGCATCTAATTTCTTATATATACGGCACTCATGTACATAACCATCACACCCATCACTTTTAATTTTGAAGTTTTCATTTCGGTTATATCATCAAAGATGTCTAAAGCTTCCGTTCTTGCTATCTTCATGGTCGTCCTTGTTCTAGGTTTGATTCACATTTTAACATTCTATCATTAATCTTTTAAACTAATAATCCACATTACGTATTTTCACATGTTTTCTCTTTTCTTTGATAGTTTTCTTTTTTATTCGTTGTTTTTTATTTTATAACAAAAAATTTGAAACTATATCGAAATATTTATATTAGGACTGGTGATAAAGGAGACGCAAGGACAAGAACTGTGTCATGAATATTTTCAGTTAACCGCACCATGTGAAAAACAACAGTGTATCGATATGTGTAGTTCGAAGTACAAGACTGGAAAAGGCGTTTGCGGGCCAGCGGTCCATCAATGCTTCTGCACTTTTAGTTGCACAGTTTAATTTTTATGTTTCTCTCTATAAACAATTCTCAATTCTAATAAAAAAATATATATATATTTTCTAGTTTTTATGTGCATGTGAATTATGATTTCAATTATTCGGCAGAAACTATAAATTGGTATTTCTAATTCATATATCAAATCTCGATTGGTTGAGTTGAGACTATATTCGCTGAAAACATGGCGATTGTCGGAGTTTTCATGATTCAGGATTGTCGAGGTCCAAATGGTTTTTAGGAATCCAAGTTTTAAGGATCAATTTCTTAAAAATCTATTAGAAAACTGAGAATTGATACAATATTGAGTACTTGAATGAACAATTATTTTCATATGTTTGGATTTGATACAAAAAGGTCAAAACATTTATTTTCATCAAAAAAATTAAAATACACTTATCGATTAACCCGTGTATTTACACCGGTCCCAATCTAGTATCTACTACATTAAACTGTTTATCTACTCAAGATCTTTTTTTTTTTTTTTTTTACTCAAGATCTTAACTGGTAATTACTCAAGAAAGTATGATATAACTCTTTTAGTTATTTTTTTTCCTTGAAATTTTTTGGTGATGAAACAATGGGAAAACAAAGGGGAGTAAAATTCTTTAGTTACATCAATTTCTGGACAAGAATAATAATAATGTTGAAGATTCTTGATCACTGATCACAAAATATGGTTGATCAAGAAAGAACAAATCCTCCCCCCTTCTTTTTCCTCTCTTGTTCTTTCAAATCTGACAAAGTTAACAATGATGATCGATTAGATGAGATTAGTCTTCTTCATCGACTTCTCTGAAAGGAAGTGGCACTGTCTTTACAGCGCGAAACTTCCCTGCATTATTTAGATGCTCATTCTCCAATCTGCATATGTTTTTGTATTTTGTCCACACATGTATCAGTATATATCCTGAATCTGATTCCAATAAAGATTCTTAAAGGGAGATTAATTTTACCGGTAAAAGTTCCATTGTCCTCTTCTGATGACTTCAAGAGCAGCCAAGAACAATCCTGTGACTCTGTAATCCACATGCTCAAAACTTGAGTGCAAAACTGTTTGTAACCATGCCAACCTCAGAACAAGATTTAGAACCTACAAAAGAAATCAGAGAGAATCGCGGAGAATAAGAATGAGAAAAAATGGACAAGAGAATCAAATTTTTCTCACTAGCTAGTTTTGTTTTCTTTTTTAATATTTTTGTTGAGATTTATGTGAGTGTTTGGGTGATTGAAGATTTGGATTTGTACCATAGAGAAATAGTAAATGGATTTTTGGCGAAGCATGAGTTGGTTCCTAAGCCAAGGGTTGTTGGAATTGTGTTGAAGTAAACCCCAATCTTTTACAAAGTCCCAATACAATTGGTAAATTGTAGCTACACTTGACATAGCCACCACAAGGCAGAGCCAACCAATGCTCCTCTCCTTCTCGTAAGCCACTTTGGTTCCAGCGGCTAACATCGCTGACACGTACTTCCCTAGGTTCACCAGGTGGCTCGTTTCACCTTCATCAAACCACCTCCTTGCACACTGTTCCAGAATCCTTTTTCAGAATTTTCTTCTCTAACTTGCGAGCGAAGAAATAAAAACTTGGGGAAGAAGGAATGATATTTAGATTAAATTACCTGCATTGCTCTCCAGTAGTATGGGAGGAAGGAAACAGCGTAGGCGAGATCTCTGTAGTATTTGACTCTCATACAATATCCATAGTCCTGCGTTGCATAGCTACCAGTTATATAGTAGCAGGCGATGTATTCTAGGTTCCTTAGCATCGGTACCTGCGAAAGTAGAGTTAACCCATTGTCAAAGATAAGACTTTTTGATACATGGTCTATGGAGAAGATCAGTTTTTTTTTTTATAACTCTGTTTCAGTATTACCTGACTACAAAGTTGATCAGCCATGAAGAAATCGAGCATCACGACTTTGTAAAGTGGTGAAAAAACTATGTTTCTAATGACTGATATAAGCCGGTAACGGCTCGATTTGTAAAAAATGTTCAAGGGACAAATCAGTATCAGCAAGAAACCCTGCAAAAAAAGACCATGGAAAAAAGTAAACAGATTTAGGATACAAATTTACAAAAGAAAAAAAACACATGATGCAGAGTGACTATTGTTTGGTCATTAATTACCAGTAATAGAAGGCCAGGAATCACTTGAACTTGACGAAAGGAGTAACCTTTTGCCAAAAGTGAAAGATGAACAAACATGACACCGGCTATCGCAGTCATTGAAGCGGTACATATCAAGAAAACATCTCTATACTTGAGCTCATTTTTCGACCCAAGTTCGAAGATGAAACTATAGTTAATCCTCGCTTTTCGCCACATAAATATGTTGCAACCGTATAAGAATAAATGCAAAAACAAGAGCCCAAACATGCTGCAGAACACATGGAAATTTGGCATTAGCTTCTATTGGATTAATTTCTCCTATTTAAAAATTACCATAATCATAAAATTTTAAGCTAAAATTAGATCACTCGCCTAAGTACAGGATAAGCAGTTTCCATGTAGAAAGTGTTCTCAGAGTGTTGTCTATACATTCCAGTGAGATGAGCCACAATGATGTAGCCAGCAAGAAGAGCAACAAAGCAACCAGTGAAAAGACCTGAATACAGACTAAATTTTAGGACAGATTTGATTATAATCTCTAAAGATTCTTTAGCAGACAAGATCATATTATGCAACAGAGAGTATAACACAATGTGACGCTCTTAGTTGTCCACCGAAAACTCAAAGATTAAAGGTTACATTGTGGAATCCTAATGTGTATGTGTGTGATGGGGTCCATAGGCTTTTTTTTTGTTGGTCTGAAAAAGATTTTATGTATGCAAGTAGTGCAAATAAAAATGTCACAACATCAACAGGTAGATATTTTTTAAAAGTATAAATCAAAAAAATCTTACCAATGAAGAAGGTGACAGAGTGAGACTCTTTACGGTGGTGCGGTTTCAGATATTTCATCGCCTTTCTGCGATTTTCTCCTGCGAAGTGCTTGATGAACCATTCCTCAACTTCTTCTGATAGAACCATCACCTATCATGTCCCAAAACAATAAATGAAAAACTATAGTACATTAAAGTGACAAGACAAGAGTGTAGGTATCGATTTTCCGCTTGCACAAACTTGAAAAAGAAAAATCTAAAGTAGATTTTTTTAGTTACCTTGTCTGAAATATTGAAGTAAGAACTTTCAACCACTTTGAGGTAAATTGGAAGGATTTGTTTTCCAGTTACCTGAAACATAAAAAGGTTGGTCTTAATATCGATTATCGAAAAAAAAACTTATAGAAACTCTTGTTGAATTGCTCTGATTTAATGCTTACCTTATCAAACTTTTTGAGAATGTTCATGAAGGCTAGTATGTTCAAGTTTCTGTAAGTTTTGAGATAATTTAACCCTTTGAAGAGTTCTGTCAAAGCTCCTTTTATCATCTTCTCGGCGTGGCTTAGTTTTTTCTTGCTAATTTGCAGCTTATTTCCTCCATCTGGACCATATTTCTTCGATGAAGACTGGTTTATCAAGTAACTGATAGCTGAGAATGTACGAGAAGGATTGGTCAATGGAATCTTTATTTTGACATTCTTCCCTTGGCAGCTGAAAACCCGACCAGAAACCGTTGTCAGCTTCGAGTCCTCGTTGTTGATTTTGATTGGTTCTTCTGATCTCAGAGACTCCAATGATTCTACACCATTATCCTTCAAATCCTCTAAGCAAAATTCCTGAAGTTGCATTTCCTCGGTTCTGCCCCTAATAGAGTCGTCCTCTGTATCCAGAAACAGAGAAAACAGTTAAACCAATTGGTGAAATCCATACATTTAACCAAAGTATTTTGAGATTAAATAACATTGAAAAAAAAGTCTTTCTTTATGTGTGTTTAAAGGTCTACTTAAATAATCAAGCAAGTTTTTATATGGTCTTTTAATAATATTATCTTATTACCGCAAGAGATGGTGCATGATATGGAATCGTCTTCTTTTGATTCTTGAGTAGACTCTCCATTGGCTTGCTTTTGTTTGAAAGCATCTTTGAGCTCAATGAGTATCTCCATTTGCTTCTTTAAACACTCTCCTCTCTCCAAGAACTCTTTCTCCTTTGTCTTGTAGAACTGATTCACTTTGTTAAGTTGCATGTCCAGACACACGAAGAACTCTTTCGCAGCGTCAGTATCATCAGCAATCTTCTCCAGAAGTTCCGTTTCATACACGTCATTGTTACTTCCAGAAGAAGCAAGCTTCTTATGAACCTGTTCAAAAAGCATCAAAACCATTAGCACAACAAACCCATGAATAGTTGATAAATAAAAGTCACAAAGTCTCATGGTTAGTTTTAGTACTTGGATGACACGAGACTGTTCCCGCTGGTTGTTACCGAAAAGGGAAAGCTTTCCTAGAGAGGACTTTATGGTTTTGATGAGAGAAGTTTCTGTGGGCTTCTTCTCAACTCCATTGGTGAACATATGGATTTTCTTGAGGTCTTTCTTGAGCTGAGAGTAATCAACAAAGGCGTCTTTCCACTCGGGCACAAGCTGCCCCTCGAATTGCTTTGTGAACTTGACCATAGTTTTTTTTTTCTCTTTTAAGTCCTTAAACTCAAAAACTCAAAAGAGAAAATGATCAAGAAGAGAGTGTGTTTGTTTTGTGAGTGTAGGGCAAGAGAGGAGGATGAGATTTGTTTTATAGTGGACAAAAGAAAAGGCAGAGAGAAAGAGAAGAATATATTTGACTGGCTTCCTTGCTCCTATGATGATGCCTCACAAAGCACATTCTCAAATATCCTTCTTGAAACCTAATTTCATGTACTAATTTTTATCCTATGCTTCTTCCACTTGTGCTTTTGGGAGAGGTAAATCTTGTCTCGTGTGGGACCGTCTGATTCTCACCGGGATATATCCACCATGCCTCATCCGGCCGCGGAGCTTCATATATATACCTCTCAGCACTCAAAATGTTTCATCTTAAAGTAAAGCTTGTAACGAACTATATGAGGGGTAAGGATAATTTGGGTATTGTAAATGGCAGAACTTGAAATAGTAAGTGTTTTGTAATGTTTTGTGTGGAAA